TATTCTCACAGTTAAGGGGAACAAAGATTTTTAATGGCACCCATGTCCATCCAAAGCAAATGGCTCTCAGCAGGCCAGAGGGCCCATGACAGCAGATCAATGTTTTCCACCCACACAGGCAATGTGACTTACTCCTTTTACCTGACTCAGCTACATAAATTGTGATTATCGGGACACAGCTTTGCTCCTGCAGAAGCCCAAGAGCAGAGAGCAGTCCTTTATCTCACAAACAGAACGTTTCCATTGTTTTGGCACCAAACTTTGTGTCAGTGAAAACACTGCACTCTAGCTTTGCAGAATGGTTTGTGCTTTAATCCACCTGTCCTCACCACACTATAATGTCACTTCACCCCACAGGTGGTCACCTTATCCTGCTTGCTTCAGAACACTACCAAATGTTATGTGCATCCCCAAAAAATGCAGGTATTTTTGCAGGGTGCCCTGGCAGCCAAGCAGCAAACAAAACAAAGAACTTGGGAGATGGGGGTAAGTGTCAGCTTAGGCAAAGACACCAGAGCACAATTGTTCCTTTTAAAATAGTCCAGGATCTTTAACACTAGCATAGAGGAGGCCAAATCTCATCAAATACAGTGTGGATCATTAAAAAAAAAAAAAAAAAAAAAAAAAATCCTAAGGAAGTTAATTCAGGATCTCCCCATAAAATAACTGCCTGAATTGAGGTTTTACCAGTCAGTCTTGGCTCTTGGTACAAGTCAGGAAACCCTGGTTTTCACTAAGGTCCTCTGGGAACTGGGACAAACCCATTGACTCTTCTAGATTTGTACAGCTGTTGATGAGAATTCAGGGAGCAGGAGGAATTAACACATTCCCCTCTTCCTTGGATATATCACTTTTATGGGATGGTTTTCCCTTTTCTTTTTTCACCTGCTTGCAGTCTATATCTGGGGAGCAGGCCACTTTCACAGTCACTTTTAAAATACAGAAAATATGAATGTATTTAATTGCTATTTTAAATGAATTCTTGTAATGATAAATTCAGCACAACCATGAGATGGATGAAAGTAGAACAAGTCACCTGTGACTGATGACAAACATCACTGAACACACTCAGAGCCACCGGGGTGATGGCTGCAATGAAAGAACCTGACCAGAATAATACACTAATGCCTATGAGACAGAGTTCCCAGCTCTCACAGAGCAAAATGAGCAGTACTCAGCCTGTGTCAGAAGGATGATGGAATGAATTGACTGCCAGAGACTTGAAACTGCAATGCAAGAAGTTTAGTATTACCAGTTCAGTGCTTAAGGCACTGAGGAATGCCCTCCAGAGCTAACTGTTTACATATAACTTAAATAGTATAAGCTATTTGCTGGAGGGCATGTACATACATATAGATGTATGTATATAAGAAAGACAGAATATTTTATCTGTTCCACTCTGCACCACGAAAAGTAACAACACCATATAAATAAACAAATGTCAGCTCTTGGGAAATGCACGAAGGCAGAAAGTACAAAAGCTTCTCTAGCTGTGTCCTGAAGAATAAATCTCTCATTCACACACACCCACATCCATTGGTCCAGCTAAAAAAATCTGATCCCCAGTCTCCAATTAGAAAATGCTGTTGCTAAAGATTTTGCTTTCTCAAAAATCAAAGTAACAATGTTAAATTAAGGCCAAACCAAACTCCTCCAAAAACTCTACTCTTCTGCCAGTTCTAAACTGTCCACTGGGAAAAGATAATTATCAAATAATAGTACCAACAACATCAGATAATCACTTCAAGCTCTTTAATATGTTCAAGGAAACATTGTTTCAAATGTTACCAAGTGTCAAAGATTTACTTTTGAGTCCAACTGTGAAAATGACCCATCCAGTGCCACTAAACACGGCAGGCACATGCGTAACAAGAGAAGTGGGATCTGCAAAGCAGAGGAAACAACCCAGCTGGGTTTTTCAGACAAAAGAGCGTCCTGGTAGCCAGAGCTCCCCAGTGAGAGTTATGACTGCCTTTGCGCTTATCTGTGTGGACCTGTGGGGTTTTTTTAAAGTGGTGGACCTACAGCAAGGCACATGGAACTTTACATTCCCCTTGGAGTCGGCTGTGTCCAGTCTCACATGCTCAGTGTGAAACTTGCACCCATGCTCCTGTCTTGTACTTCCCTCTGCTAGAGCTTCCCTGCCACAACTGAAACTCAGAGCTGCCCCTTGTTCCAGGACCCTGTGCACCCTCTCTGCTGTAAGGAATAAATCTGGAATTAGAGGAATAGCACATGTAAGGCTTTCACTGGATTTCCTCTTGCGAATCACTCAACTGAGGATGAATTCTGCTTAGAGGTTGTTCTCTTCCCATCCATTTATAATGCACAGGACAACAGGCTTAGTCTACCCCATCCTTCCTCTTCTAGTACCTTTTCCAGCTATGGCTGGAGGAAAAGCAAGACTCTGTTCTTTCCTGGTCCATCCCTGCCCTCTGAATTTTCAAGAACAGGAATACAAAGCTGTACTACCTCAAAGCTGCATGACCCCCAGCTACTTGAATTCACCCCACACAGACACCGTGTGTTTTGCTATTCCTTGTTAATATTTGCAACACTGTTGTAAGGAGCTCTTGGTAATGAGAAGGTGTGTCTCCACAACACAGAGGTGTGACTTTGAAGCAATGCCTTTCTCTATTTCTTAATCAGAGCAGCAAATGAGGAATGTCAATGTCAAGCATAGAGTGGGAAGATGTGCAGTGACATCATTACAACAATGCTGCTTCATGAGCCAGCATTTACTAGGTGCCAAAACATGGTTCAAGGCCCTAAACGTCATGCTCACTTAAGTCACACACCTTGTCAGCGTGATTACTGAACTAGCATGCAAAAATGATGGGGACTTTGTCAGACCTTTTGCTTCTCAAGGTCACGTGTGTGGAGTTTTCTGGGAGGTAATGCAACATGCAACGTAGAGTGAAGGCTGTGCATAGTATCTCCAGCATAGTATCTCCAGCAAGCAGCAGGATTTATTTATCACTAATGGCAGCAGCCATTAGTGATATTTCAGAAACAGGAACAACCTCTCTGCACTTAAAAGATGAAAATCTTTCAGTATTTTCTTGGGAGTTGTTTCATTTACCATTTCCAAACAGCTGTCTCCAGCTATTTAATAATAATAGTAACAACTAGAAAAAAAATTAAAAAACAAACAAACAAAACAAAACAAAAAACCCCACATAGGCCTGTTGCCTAATTTCAGAAAGTGAATTTTTCTGGGACATACACTATTAGGCAAAAGCTCTTTTTTTTTTTTTCCCCATAAGGCAAGTGCAAAGCATTACATTAATACACACTGGAAAAATAAGATAATGGCTTTCTTGATTGTGACGAGGAATGTGGGGAGATTTAATCTGAACACTGAGTCAGGTGGAAGCGTCTAAACTCCCCTCGGACACAATGTTATCGCATTTAACGCTTACATCATCACCCTCACGAATGATGCTGAGTAACGCAGCCCCAAACGTTGATCCACGTACCCGCACGGGTAAGAAGGGAGAAACGACCACAAAGGTCCCGTTTTAGCATACGTCAGGCGCTAAGAAAGATAAGTTTGATGTCTGGAGCAGAGGCAGCGATCTATTTTCAGCTGTTCGTATAGCAGCCGCGGGCCTATCAGGATGCAGTCACTCCTCTCAATGTTTCGCATGTGTGCCGAGAATTAAGAGTTGGGAGGCAGCACAGCGGAGCAAACGCCTTCAAAAGCGTGGTGCACTGACTGCTCGTAATAAAGTAACAGGAGACAAGGCTTCGCCTCCTTGACATGTTCAGAGCAATTTCCAGTTGAAAAAGGTCAGCGTATCATTTACAGAGCGGCAGTGCCTGGAAAACTCTCGTAACTCTGCTCCGCGAAACACCCTGGGTGACAATAACAACCTGAGCATCGCTGCCGAGGTCGGCGCTCGGAGCTGCCCGCAGGCGCGGGCGCTCCGCTCCGGACAGTGCCCGCTGCCCCGGGCGTAGGCACTGCCCGAGTTCCAGGGCCACGCCTGCGAAATGACCTAAAATAAGTGCCGAAGCCCTGGCGAACGGGATGGACTGGGGCAAGGGGAACAATTCGGAACGCGGGAGACACTTGAGCACTACTTTTCACCCTTGCTCGGGGACGCGCTGACAGCGTCGCCTGCCAGTGCCCTCCTCACGGATGCCGCCGTCACCGCCTTGCCGAGGCGCGACGGCAGAGGCGCGACGCGTTTTTAGGTGCACAGCGCGATGTAAAAAAACCCCAAAGCAGCACCCCAAGCGGTCTCAAAATCCCTTCGAAGAGCACATATACACTCCCTCGGCCCCCCGAGCTCGACGCCCGCCCACTGCCCCTCACACATTCGATGCCACCGCGGGCCCGGCGCCCGGCAGGGCCCACCCCGCGGCGCAGCGGGCCGAGCCCACGGACACCGGGCCGAGCCCACGGACACCGCCGGGCCCGCGGGACGG